AACGATTACTGAATTAAATGGAAAACTTAAAGAACATCCTAAAGAGAAAAAATGATCATGATACAGAAAGGCTTGGGATGTCGATTTTTGCGAAATTTATAATAATGGATTTCTAACGATCAGATAATTGCAAAATTAACATTTAATAAAGTGTAATAATAGTGTTTCAACAAAGACAAAAATATTGATCGACTGAAATTTTAGAATTTTTCATGACTATTCACATGAGCTTAAGAATAAAATAAATACGTTCTGTTTTATTCCGTTTTGTCAAAGAAATTGCCAATTTAGATAATGTTTTCGTTATCGTTTTTTTTGTATTAGGAGGAGTATTGTTAAACTTTTAAGACAGTGGAATTAGTTCATTTAGAAAACAAACCTATTGAGTTTTGTATGCCGAAATGTAAGATGGTACTTTTCTTCTGCTTCATTATTGCAGCCGTCACGAAATTAAACAATAACAATCTAAATGGTCAGTTTCCATTTTCTCTTCATTGCCAGACACCACGAAAGCCATTATTTATACATGTCATTTATACCCAGTACTAGAAGACTATGCTAATAAGTGTGATATCTTTGACAAAACTAGTTTTCCTTGGCGCCGAATCACTTTCGAGGCATAATGCAAGTGAATATTAAACATATGAATCTACATTATATAGCAACTTTTGTTAAACATGCATTTGTTTATAATTATGATATAATGCATATATAACTTTTTATACTTTTGCTGACTTGAAGAAATGCAACAATCACAACTTTTCGGCCGTTTCAATCAAACTTCTTGTAATAACCTCGAAAATAATCATACAAGTGCACAGAATGGATACGGAATTTCGGTCTAACCTACTGTTGTAAATTTGATCTTACAAATATGTAATAAGTACGTACTGTTAAGAACTTGTCTATGAAAGTAAAAATTAAGATATAAAAGTGAAAAGTGCAATTTTTCGGAAAATGAAATGGTAAGCATGTTGACGATCTGCCGAATTAATAAAATTGAAATGGATCATTGTTGTCAACATGTTCTAATGTTACCGACATAAACTTTGTTTTTCTATAACATACTAAGTACGTATGTTTGATTATTCAGTATTATCAGACTACTCCTTCTGACTTTGTGTACTCAGACTACTCCTTCTGACTTTGTGTACATCTAAAGTCGTTTGGTAGAACTTTCAATTTGAATTGTTTCCGAGATGATTTTTGGTAATTGACAGGGTGTTCCGAATGGAGTAGACATCTATTTTTTGGTTTGTCTGATATAAAATGATATATTTGCAAATTGAACATGTCTCATTTGATAGACATAAATCAGTACAAATGCCTGTAAAATATCGTTTAATGAGCGCCAAAATCTATTTCTGGTAAGGTTGTCATGGAAACTTGACTTTATTTGATGCAAATTAAGACGCACATCAAATATGTCTTTCATCACGGAGCATATATATTAACACTAGTAAAAGTTGTTTTGTTTTTGAAAATATTAGAACGATGTATTGAATTGATATATTTACTTTTATTAGAAAAACATGTTTTGATCAAATTCAGTGGTTCGCTTTATCAAATATTATTAGTAAAGCATTTAAAAATTGCACAAAAATAATTAAACAAATACAATCATCATTACAATTGTGTTTTCCTTGGATTAAAGAGGAAAGTAAAGGAGAACATTGTCAAAAATGATTAAAAGACAACATACAAGGAAACAGGGTTCATTTTTGTGTGTGTGAAAAATGCTGATAGAACATGTACTACATTGATGCAATTAATGTGCGCCACGTAAATGCAGAAGGTCCGTATCACTTTGATTGAAAAAAAATATATAACCTGAAATATATGATCAGATTTTAGCCGTTTCGACCCTGAAAAACTAAAAACACCCGGCAAAAAAAAACAAAAAAAAAAAAACAACAGAAAACACACTCAGTTAATATATGTCGTTATACTACATATATTATGATATCATAAAGGTAAATATAAATAAAAAAGAAGATTAGACTGTTCTAATCCGGCTCTTGTTACATTGAATTTTCGTGAAATCATTATAAATTGTTTTGTATTCACACCAGATGACGTATCTCCTGTCACCGAATCCTTTTAATCGCTGATTAAACGAGGAAGTTTTTATGTAACTGTATTCATGGTCATCGATTGGCATCGTGTTTAGAATATGAAACGAATTTGATCAAAGATAGAAGTGTAGGATGAATTTCCTGGAAGGAGATTTAGTAGCCTGTTTTTCCTAGAATAAAACAGGATGTTCTAAGAATTTTCCTTGATAAAAAGTGAATGAGAGAACATTGTCATGAATACCCTTCTCTCTCAAGATTTATATTCTGACAAGTTTATATGGTATAACACGAAGATTAAGGGGGCGATACAGGCACTAGGTACATAAATAACTTAAGATATATATTTGAAACGCTTAGTGTTGTTTTTAGAACAAAACCACAGAGAGCCGTTTTTAGCCAATCTAATCTTAATTTCAATGAATAACACTTAATAATTGTTTTACTTTCTCTTTCTCATTATTTTTTTATATAAAGTGATATTAAACTACGCATTATTCATACAATTTATGGGAACATTTGTTTCAAACATATTTACATAGAAAGTTACTTTTATATTGAACAAAATATATCTTTTTAAAAACGATTGTTCCGTCAATTGCAGAAGTGACATGTAGCGTCTTAGCTTCATATGGCTATTACTTAAAAGTTGCTAATTAAAACCTTTCAGTCAAGTCCTTCATAGACAGAAGTGCTATTTTATGCATTGCCTTATATCGATTTTCTAAATGTCACTGCACTGGAAGACGTATACCAATTAGTTTAGAAAATAGCAAATCTGCCTATTTACGAGATATATACAAATACACGGACGATTTGCTATGGAGACCAATGTCACAACTCTTTGTTATTTCGTAACAAATATAGAACCATGATTTTGAACTATCACGCCTTAATAAGTAAAAATGACAAATCAAGTCACGAACAAGAAGCTTATAAATGGAATATCTGAGTGCATTAAGATACATTTTTGAATTTTGTTTGATCAAATATCAACAAAGAAGGCATGACAAGTACTTAACAAAATATTTACAACATTCTTCGGAATAGTTTTGTCAGCACTTATGTTTGAATTACTTTTTTCTTTTAAGAATAAAGATTCGCAATTTAATTATGATAAAACTTTGCGTTATAAGTCACGTTTTCCTGTGAAAACACGAGAAAAACAGTTTAACTATATTTGGTTTAAACCAAACAACACGGCTATAACTACTGATTATTTTTCAGCGTCTTGTGATATCTGGCATACGTTTAAAAAGTGAAGATGCCAATGAGCAAGATGAAATAACTACAAATTATATATATATATGCACATTGGTAATGCCATTAATATTTTTCAAAAATGAATCAACATGTACATGCTATGTTATACTATAGACGCGTCAATGAAAAATGACTCTTATTTCTCTTTAAACGGTCTTTATTTTGGGTATGTGATAAAAAGAATATTAAATTCGTGTAAGTTCATTACTGAATTTATTGCACTCGTTGAATAAAATAATATTATGCTCGCCAGAGTCTCGCATAATATAATTTTAATTTTAATATCCTCTATTTATGAATTACTTTATTTTCTATTTGTTAACAGCACGACTCACAATAAAAACAAATTGAAAGATATTAAGTTACAAACAGAAATGTCTATTCCGTAATCAGATTAACACAAATTACAGACACTGTCAAAGGTGTTGTTTAATTCACGTGCACAACAGGATCAAACGAGTTTCAATCTAGTTAATTGACCAATGTGAAGGTTTCAAAAAATGTTTTACAAAATGCAAACTGTGTATACTGTTATATATTATATAGTTGATTTAAACTTAAACATTTCTCTTAAAACACAATTGCATGTACATTTCATCTCTCACAACCGCATGAAAATGCAGACGCGCGTGATTTAATTAAGATAAATCTTTGTCCTTGATAGCAATGTCACGTAAAGTTTTAATGAGAATGCTGCATGTCAAATTAAATTTAGAAAATAAATTGAAAATAGGATACTCTATAGGTGATAGGGTGTTCTGTGGCTTTACACTGGTCCAAGTACTTTTGATAATGAAAAGAGGTGTGGTATTAGAATGACTTTCTACATATTGACCATGGGAATTGAATACTTTAATTAGATTTTTTTTCACAAACTAAGCTTAACACAACAGAATAAACAAAGAAATAAAAAACAGAAATAAAACAGCCAGTATATAAAACCGTTTCATTATGTAATGCCTTTATAATGAGTTCATTACTACATGACAGCGAAAATATTTCCCAAGTTCAGATGTAAGAAAGATTTTCTTTCTTTTGTAAAAATGCAAAGTCAAAACTGATACGACTGTATTTCGAAACACACCGTTAAATATTCATGTTTAAGCAAAATTTGAAAAGAAATCATTTAGTTATTTTTGCAGTTATAATTAATAAATTTCATAAGGTTGAAGATATTTTAATTAACATCGGTGTAGCTGTATCTTGTCAAAAGTGTTGTTTTGATACAAATTTCAAAATGATCAAAGATAGTATGTTTGACGTAAAAAGTTTTTTTTTAAACGACCGTTAACACATCATATTTGGCACATAGGCCCTCTCCCTGTGTCTTAGTAAACTTGATAAAACTAAATAAAATCATTGTCGCAAACAAGAATTTGCTTACTTTTACGTGCAATATGATTGTGTGTGGCCAAACCTTCTCTTTTAATTAAAATACAGTACGTATTGTACAACGGAGGACGTAAAGCAGAAGTTATAGATGTGGCTCACAGATGCAAAATAAAGTTTGCTTTAACGACCTTATTAGCATTATTAGAAGTGCTGTAATGCGTACTGATTAAGCACAACTTTTAGAACCATTAAATACTTAGGAATAGATTCGGCTTATATTTAACAAAGTAAATAGTAAGTCATGCATTTTAACCCCGTTTTGTTATATTTCAGGATTTGGCATGACAACACCTCGTACAACAGAAGGTAAAATACTGCTGATCTTTTATGGTTTCTTCGGCTGTGCTGGGGCTATCTTGTTCTTTAATCTGTTTTTAGAAAGAATAATAACATTCTTGGCATATATATTAAGAGCAATTCATGATCGCAAGATGAAGAGAAAAATGGGAATCAACAACAATAATGATGATAATCGTAGAGATTCTGGATCGCTTGACGAAGACTCTTTGACAGAATGGAAGCCTTCAGTTTATTGGGTTATGTTAATATTACTATTGGGAGCAGTGGTAGTAGCCTGTTGTGCCTCAGCTATGTACTATCCTGTTGAGGACTGGACATACTTTGAGGCAATTTACTTTTGTTTCGTGACATTCGCAACAATAGGATTTGGGGATTACGTGGTTAGTCAGAAGGAACACTATTCAAGCGTGCATTTTTATCGTTTAGGAAATTTTATTTTCATAGTTATAGGATGTTGCTGCATATATAGCTTATTCAATGTAACATCAATTGTGATAAAACAAGCATTAAACTGGATAATTAAAAAGCTTAATTGTGAATGCAGGGTTCGACGGCCACCTACTGGTCGGAGGAATGCCATTACGCCGGGCCATCTTAGTCGACGTACAAAAGGTAATACTGTAACAGTAGACGTAGAATGTGATAGTGATTCTGAGGGTGGAGGCAGAAGAAACTCAGGGGAAATGATTTCTATGCGAGATTTTTTGCAAGCAAACAAAATATCATTGGCTATGATGCAAAAACAGCTATGGGAGACGTCTCAACGTGCACAGGGAGGCTCAGGCGGGAATGGTTTCCAAGGCGGAGTTGGTCCACTGGCAATATTAAATAGAAAACTTGGTCAGGATGATGTGTAAATATTCTGTGATGTCTTAAAAGGTTTTGCTCAAGTTTTGATATGATGGAGACCGAAACTGATTTACTATTACATAAGGTTTGCACAAAAAACATTGAATCAAACAAAGCCTTTAGAAAAAATTAAATCTTAAATAAAGCTTTATATGTATCAGAGGGTCTTTAAAGGAAAATGTAAAGCTGACGACACTTCATATACAAGAGATACTGACTCTTGAAAGAACTATAAAGTGTAAGCTCACATTTTGATACAATGTCAATGCTTGTTATGTTTATGTGATATTTTCTCGTTCCTTCGAACAAACTTTTAGCGGCATCGTTTTCATTTGTTGCTTGTCTTCGTTTCATAGCAACAAGTAGACGTAAACAGAATGAACAGATCTTATCTCTGTCTGTGGAAATATTATTTGCTTTCCTTTTTATGAAATGTATTAACGTACTTTTCTTTTTTAATGATCGGATTATTTGAACGTGATAAACACAGCTTAATATACGTTAATGAAGTCATGTAAGTAACGTATAGGCATAAACTAATGCTTGTTGGTCTCCTGCCTTACTATTGAATGGCCAAAGTTTTTAGCAATCATACTTTGATATGCAGTTCATCTTAATGACTTAAGTTGGAAGCAATTTATTTGTATGTGTTCGTATATAGATTTATTTGAAATGAAATATGTTAAAATTTGTTTGTTTATACATCACAACTAGCTTTATTCAGTATTATTATTGTTTGAATGTACGTATTTTTAAACGGTAGTGTCTAAAATTTACACACTTGTGTTTTATGTGTATTCTGCAGACATTTATGTGAAATATATAAAAGATATTTTTTTCGCTGATGTCTTTTGGGCTGATATACATCTCACTAAAAGTAAGAGAATAGTACTTTTTCACAGCGCGATTGGAAATGTTGATATTTTCTCACTTTGACGTGAGATGTTTTACATATTCATGACAAAGTTTTCCTTTGTGTTGTTGCGTGCAAACTAAAACAGAATATCTAATATTTAAGCACATGAATCAAACAGATAAACGAAAAAATGCACTGGGCATTCAATGCCTGCTCAAAATATGCTCGCATTGAAGTGTAATGTTTTCACAATGATCTTGAAGTTATGATATTTGAATCAAAAGTTTTTGAAAAGAACAAAATACAAAAAATAATTTTGATGTTTATTTACGCAATATGAAAATCAACACACGCTTTAACACGTGAGTGATAAGGATTTTATGTCAATGATGAAACCCAGAATAGCTTTTGCAATAGTTTACACATTGATACACAGTTATTGTTACATTTTAAAGACATTTTCATTGAAACGGGATAGTCAATAACACTCGTTTTTTACACCAGTTTCAGTATGTTCTCAAGTCCAAATAAATATTGCTGCTAAGATAGGTTTTTTCACTACAACTGAATGTACACTTGGAAACCTTTGTTATCTTAAAGAGTGAATGCTCTTTGAGAAACTTAAACTTTCTAAAGGACTGAATGCTCGCTAGGATTTCTCGCTAGGTTTTCTCAATGACTTAATGCTCGCAGGAAAACCTAGTTTTTTTCAATGAATAAATGATCGCTGGAAACCTAGATTATCGGAATGAATAAAGGTTCACTGGAAACCTAAGTTATCTCAATGACTAAATGTTCACTAGAAGCCTAGGTTATCTCAATGCATGAAAGCTGTTTAAGAAATCTAGGTTATTTCAACGTATTAATGTTTGATGAAAACCTCAATGCAAATTTGTTATCATTTCTCGACGTCTTACCATACTTGTGTCTTTAAATCATACATATGTGCTACAATTATAATAAGTGACAGATAAATACCAGTACGAACTCGTTATGAATTATAGCAATCATGTACTATTTGCTTTGCCGCCCTATATTTTTGAACAGGTATGTATTTTTGTTTGTTCAGAGGGCCTTGTCAAATACTTTTTTAAAATTTCATTTTAATGTTGTTGTTAAATTGTGATATTATTTCTGTACATATAATAACAATAACAATACAATTATACACGGATCCAATTACTAGTGCTTTCTTAAGTTTGTACATATATCGAACATAATAACTAATATTCAGTCATTCTTGATTTACAGAGTTACCTCCTTTGTTATATAAAACAACATATTTTTTTTTGAAATTAACATTTGTTTCTTATTTATATGTCATTGTATATAACCTAATCGTTATTGATGATTTGTTTTGTTGTTCGGTCATTTTGATTTTTAAAAATGTATGAAATAGATAGAAGGTTTTTCTTTGCGTTTCTACGTTTAATGGAAACTTTGTTATCAGATTCTATGACAATCTGACGTTGTTATATGTTCAATATAAACGTTTTCTGCATGTATATATTTCATGAGATGAATAATTACATCAATTAATAAATTTGATATGAAACGAGAAATATCTTTTGTACTTATTTTGTTTCATTGATCAAAATGTATTGAAATGTTTATGGTTTTCTGTGTAATAACAGAGGAGCAAATAAACATATAAATTATATTCTAATACATCCAAGCATATAAAAAGTATAATATTCAAGATCACTTAATTTTTCTGAAGAGAGTGGGTGATAATGTTAAACATTTCACAAAAAAACACTCTGGAAAACTGCATACTAACCCATTAGTCCGCGGTTAAGTGAAAAACATGTTTTTGAGGACATTTGTTTGTTGTGTGTGAATTGTAATTTATCACACTGTTCAGAAAATGTAAATACGTTTTTGCTTGGATAAGAAATATATATTATATTCACGAAATGCCTATTCCTGTTTTTTTATGTCTAAAAAAAAGATACAATGAAATGAAAAGGAAAGTGACCTACGAAAAAAGAAGACGCCAGACGTTAGATGACTACGTATACGCAAACGCCCAAGTCAAGTCAAGTACATGTACAATGTTGTATTTTTTTTCATAGTCGGATATAATAACACAGTTATGTTAATACAGTATGCAATATATTAATTATATCTTAAACAACATTTATTCCTCTTTATACTCATTTCAGTCAGTTATGTCATTATCTTATAAAGTTTCCGTTTAATACATTATATAAACAAATACACCGGTAAGACAACAAAACAATGTCAATTCTGCTATTTTGTTACTTATGGTTTTATTCAAAACAAACTAATAGTATGAATTCTATTAATAACAGTTGATTAAAATGATGAATCCACGATTCACGACGATAATGAATTATTATAGCACTTAGTAAACATAATATTGAAATACAAAGATCCCTTGAGATAAAATAAAATAAATTAATGGAAGTGTTAGAAACCGTTTCACGAGAGAACGTGTCTGGTAATTAGAAAATAAGTGCAACATCTCCTACCTCTTTTCTAGCAATGAAGCGAGTTTTGTCGAATCTTTGATGCTTAATGTAGTGACAATACTGTTCCCATTGGACCTGAAATGTAACAGCATTGAGACAAAATACAGCACAATGATCTAAAGCTTTCATACAGCACTTTACAAACATCTGCTTATGTGAATATGATTTTTTCAAAGGCACATTATTCTTCAGAAACGAATTCTTATTTTCCTCTCTAGAAATTGCAAACATGTGTTTGATAAAGTTTAAATTTGATTTTTGGTCATCTAAGAATTTCATGTTTTTGCCATGAAAGTAGGAATATAAACCATGTTTAGACAAGCAATCAATCAAGTTTATCTTTACAACATTGCAATCTATACGAATGGAATGCTTGTTGGCCCTTTTTAAACGATAGCTTAAATTTTAAAGGGTTTTCTAGATTTGTATAGAGATTGTACACAATCATACAACAACGACTTTTCTTGGGTGCGTATCAATAAAGATTTGGAAGCATTAATTTTGTACTTAGTTTTTATACAAGTAAGTAGGAACGGCTTTATATCATCAACGCTTTAAGTCGGGTAACAAAATCTTATTTAATTATTCGTGAAATATTCCAAATAGAGAAGACGGTAAATGTCATATCTTATGTTGCGTGATAAAGTTATATCAGAAGATTTTCTATTACAGTTTAATCAATAGGGAAGAGATTTTCACAGGCATAAAAAATGTCTACATGGATATAACTCATATGAGAATTATTTAATGTTACATGCTACTTACGTATATTGTTTAAGTGTACCAAATATGGTATATCAGTATATATTATACAAAATATATTTGGAGCTTAGAATTAGTATGACAGTTGATAAATGACAATGAAATTACTCCCATGTGTTTGGTCAAGAAGAGAGGTCATCCCTTTCATGTTATTGAAAAGATTCCTAATTCATCAACTAACAATATCCTTCGTACACATAGGTGTTCGATCAAAGACTTTTAATGAATACTTATTACTCATTCTTATTTCAAAAGTTAACTTAAACCGAGCTAATTAGATATTCATACTCAAGTTAAAAGTGAAAAATTCGTTTAACATTATAAATATTATCTAAAACAAAATGTTGTCCAGCTTTCGGAAGACGGAAATGCAACTTCATTAAAAACACAATAAACCATTGTTATTGACATTTTTCGTCCTCGTGTTTTCTTGATTTTCATTTAGAGTGCTAAAGCCTAATTAACACAACTTTCGTTGTTAATAAATACAACTAATTTACAAATGTGTAGAAAAGAAACTAATATATGTTTTAAAACTCACGATGTCCTCATTATAGTCATAACAGGAATAACTTAACATTGGCCTAAGATTGTAATGAACTAGTAGCAGTATCGTTAAATGATTTATTGAGGTTTGCTATTGAAATTCTAGAGATTGTCGATATGCAAACATAGTGTTGTAAGAGCCATCTGTTACATAGAAATATCATTTATTTAGGGGAGCCATTAACCTGTAGAGATATTGATCCAAAAAGAACGTTTGTCATTGCTGAATAGCATATGAAATAATTCATAAGACCTCTTATCGCTTGTAAAATGCAATTATATCTCGAAACCAAAATAAAAACAGTTTTTGCTGCTGCTGTTTGATGTACATATTATATCTTATGAGAGAATTTATTGCATATTAAGACAAATCACGGGAGGGTGCACAGTTTTTTTTCCATGTTTAAGGTATAATATATTGGGGAAAAGGAGATCTTTTGATAAGAATAATCTGGGAAATTAAAGATTCGATTTCATTAATTTCAGTATTTAAAGTTTGATTGACTTACAGAATAGATTGGAAAACAAAAATGGATGAAATATACGTACTATTAAAAGAATAATTAACTTATCAAATTATATTACTTACTTACATTTTCCACATTAATCCTTTCGGCTATCGGTTGAAATAATAAACTTTTTGAATGGTATGAATGTAAATAGTCAACATGATTGGGTTTTTTTTTATTTCTAAACATTTTGAATTCGTCCATATTTATCGAATTCGAAAAAAACGATAACGATTATAAAAGAGCATATGTGTTATTTTCCTTTAATTATTTATATATATCTTAAATGATGTTGAATATTTTTATACTTTTTGATAAAATAACTGCATTCATACGAAATTGTATTGGCATATAATTAAAGTATATTCATGAAGTGTAAAAAATGCAAGAAAATAACTATGTAGTAAATTGTATGTCTGTTATTATTACATTATCTGCAATTCAAATAAGTTTCTTACATACAATTTGTATATTTATTTTGTATATTACGCCAATAGAATTTAAAATTACCAACACTTACTGCAGTATGCTTCTAGAAATCCCCAAACTCTCTAATCATTACAACATTTAAACATCAATCAGATATAGGAAACTGATGAATCTATGAAAATTACTTTGTGAGCAATAAAATGTGTGAAAAGCTTGACAAGAAAATGTAAAAGAAACGTACGTATTCAAATATACTTCCCGTATAAGACTAAAAAGATTCAAATCTATAGATAAATTATATATATCGCCATAAACAAGTATAAATGTTTAGCCTGAATATTGTATAGAACTGTGTCCTTTGGAAATAAATATCTTTCCATCGGTAATCTTAAACTGACTTTATTGGTCCTAAATATCATTCCTTGACAATTTTCACAAAATATGTTTTATCTGAGAAAATTCATCTAACTGTAATGAAAAAATATAAAATAATTGCAATCAATTCCTTACAATATTTCATTTAACATTCTTAAAGTTCTTAAGGAACGTTTTGTTAATAATTGACATCTGTTCTCGTAGTGATTTATTTAAGAAAAATGAATACAAACCAAAAACAAAAAATACAACAAAAAAAAACAAAAACAACAAAAAACAAGCAAACAAAAAAACAAACAAACAAACAAAAACGAATGAATATATTTCAACCAAGTCTTTAAGTGTGATTAAATGTCACTGAAAATGTTTGAACGATAAAAGGTAGTCTTAAATTAAATCAGAATAATATCTACTAAAATATAAATGCCACGTTGATTTCAGTTTCAGATGAGTGGCGATAGGAATCAGCTGGTATATTTACACTTAATATACACAACTTTTATGAAACCTGATTTATGTGACGTTATAAAAGAATGTTTCGGTGCGAAAAAAAAACAAAAACAAAAAACAAAAACAAAAAAACAGACACACAACGCAATGTCGAAAACATGAAAAAACGAAACTTGATGATTCTCGTATTTACACGTATTCGCAATTTAAGTCAGCCAGTAATTACAAACAAACAAGTTTAAGACGAGTTCACGATATTTGATAGATAACAAGTATTAACAAGGATGCTAAAGAAAATAGATCATTGATTTGCAAGTTTACAAATACTTTTTTTAAATCAATATTCATGAAACATAGAGCAAGTTCTTATCATACTATTGGATGACACTAATTAGGAATCCATCAAGGTAAACCTTGATCGTTAAATGCCATTTGCTGAAGAACATTATAAATCTATCTCTTAATACAAATAATGCATTATTTGAGTAATTCCTTGCTCTAGCTAATGTTTTCCTTCATGTTTTACCAGTGAAGAAATTATTAGAAAGGGTGTGTATATCCTTTGTTTTATGTGTGATTCAGATATACGTATTTATATTTTACGACAAGAATCCTGAAACAATGATCCTTTATAAAAAATATATTAACATGCATTGCAAAGAGCGAAAGTAAAGTAAACTTTTGTGTTTTGTCTATATGGAATTGATTTGAAAAAAAAAGATGAATGCTTGTTATTAAATGATAATCATGATAGGTGAAATAAGGCCAAAAATAAA